AGGACTTTGTGGACTGGTGTTGGGTTAATGGGTTAATGTTGGACTTGTGGGCTTGGGCAGCATTGGGTTGGGATGTTTTCATGATGCACATTTTCTTTACATAAAACTCACTCTTATACATGAGTTGCTGTGGATTTGTTTCTCCAAAGTACCCAGACTAATACAACCCCTATTGACATTCTGGCATTATTATTTCATATAGATATAGATATATAGATACACATACACACAAAGAGGGAATCACACTCAAGTATAATTCCCTACTGGGTTTTCCCATTTCTCTGTATATCAATACCTTTGTTTCAATAATAATAATGTTTCTTAACGAATACATGAATTCTGTCTAGACAGTGGACCAGTCATCCATCTAAAAAAATACCCATTGCTCTGTGCTAGCCATTATTCATTGGGTAGCACAACTGGTTTGTGATTGGTGACTAACTTAAAGGCTAGTGGTTCACCCCCATCCAGCAGCACTGTGGATGAAAGGCCTGGTGACCTGCTTCTAGAAAGATTAGAAACAAGACTATTCTATGTGCAGCTCCACTCCAGGCCACAAGGGCTCATCATGTAGCAGGTGTGCTCTGGGTTTGGGGTGAATTATTCTGGCATATTACTGTGCCTGAATGAATGAAGCAGATTGCGACTTTTCTCCTGTGAAATTTACATTCTTACTCTGGCCTGGTTCTCTTAGACTTGAAGATTTATGGATCTTGGTATACCATGTTTACTTATTTGTAAACTGTTTAAACTCATAACTTAAATGGACTTTCTGCTCATCTGAATGGTGGTCTGAAGAGCCGAATGTGAAGTTTAAGACCTTCCTATCAATTGTTATATTTTTAGCTTTATATAGAACTAAGTAACATTCCTTTGCCTATAATCTCAGTTATTAGCACTAGCATCCATTAGGAAGACTAAATAAGCTACTAAAAAGCTTTTGTGTACCTTGGAGACAATCTACATTATGAAGATAAAATATTCTGTTGCCCATCCCCCAAAGGCCCGGGAGGTCTAAGGATCCAGGGATGCTTTGTGTAAATTCATCCCATTTTCACACATTCAACAAATATTTAGTGGGCAACGTCTAGGTGCCTGACACTAACAAACAAAAGAGACCAAGTTCTCTACCCTCATAGAGCTTGCTTCTGAGTAGAAAGAGGTAGATAATAGACTAATAAAATAACATAACCAGTTAAATAAAATATAGTATAATAGATGGTGATTAACTACAGCAGGGAAAGAGCACTGGAGTATGAGAATAGTGTGGGATAGACGGGTTTGTCTCCCTTAAAAAGATCTGTTGAGTTTGGGCTATGTCATAGTTGGTGTACCTGTCTATATAGGCACTGGAGGCCTGCTGGAGGAGAGAGCAGTGGGACCAATGGTCCCTGGGAGACGTGGCGGGTGAGGCAGTGGGGGAAGGGGGCAGTGAACAGGCAGCTCCATGGACAGGGGAAAAACTGGGGTGTTGGGGTCAATAACAAGGAGGACACATGGGTCTGAGGTGTGTGTGTGTGTGTGTGTGTATCAGAGCAACAGCAAACTAGCTAAGAGGAGGTACCAAGAGGTGGAACTAAGGGGAGAGTGACAGTGGGGCAGGAGGAAGGTAAAAGGAAACAGGAAGGACCAAGGAAACAAAGCAGTGGACAGAGGTATCAACATAGCATCAGAAGACCCATAGCAACCAAAAACACATTGTTGAGAATGAGGGGGGCTGGAGCAGGGATCCAAAGCCCATCTGTAGACAGTGGAACAATCTCCCCACAGAGGGGCCACAGGGAAGGGAGGAGTCACCAGGGTGCAGTAAAGCATTGATGAAACACACTATATTCCTCTGGTTCCTTGAGGCTTCCTCACCCCCCACTATTATGACCCCAGTGCTGCGTCTCAATTCAGACTAGACAGGAGCATGTACACAGATATAGATAAGAGACAGGAGCTCAAAACACACAGAATTCAGGAACAGGAGTGGGAACAGTAATACCAGAAGGGTGAGGGGAGAAGGGGAGAGGAAGGGAGCAAGAGGGAACCATTCACAATGATCGACACATAACCATACATCCCTCTCCAGGGGGAAGGACAACAGAAAACATGGGGAAGGGAGGCAGTGGTCCGTGTGAGAAATGAAAATAATAAAAATATACAATCTATCAGGGGGTTATGAAGGTGCAGGGCAGGGGGTGGGGTGGGAAGAAGAGCTGATACCAAGGGCTCAATAGAAAGTAAATGTCTAGAAAAGAATGAAGGCAACGTATGTACAAACATGACTGATTCAATCGAGGTATGGCTTGTGATAAGAGTTGTATGAGCCCCCAATAAAATGATTACAAACAAAAAAGAGATCTGTTGAAATTCTACTTAACTGGTCCTTATGTATGTGACTCTGTGTGGAAATAGAATCTTTGAGTCATGGACCAAATTCCTCTTCAGAGACCAGAGAAGGAACCAACATGACCAATACTCGAACTCCATACCTCAGGGCTCCAGAATTAGGAGACCAGAGATTTCTGTTTTTGTAAGTCACTCTGTTTTTGTTAGGGTAGCCCTTGCAAATGAATACAGGTAGTTTTCCAGTTTTAAATAAGCTGTTCAGAATACATTTCCTCTGAAGACGTCAAGCTCACTTCACTCGTGTTCAAGGGCCTCCTCTTCCCACTCTGCTCTTTCACGACAGCAGCATTGACAAGAGCTAACAACATAATAAAGCCTCAGCGACTGAGAAGCTAATCGCGTCTTCTTAAAGTGGGAATTTAATACATATTATATCATTGCATATTTCAATCATGTCAAGTAGAACGTACAATTCCTGCCACAATCAGTTTCCGAACATTCTTTTTCTACATGGACTCCTTGACATCGGCTCCCTTTTACGCCCCCTCTCCATCCACCACTGTACCCCTTCCCTCAGGACCCTTATTTTACTTGCTGTCTCTATAGGTGCACCAATTCTGGGTTCCATAAATGAAAAACATATAACACAGCTTCAAGAGGGTGACCTTCAGTGACATAACACCTCTGAGCTACATTCTAATATCAACGAACCAAAACCAAACCAAACAATACAAAACAAAAATACAGATCATTTTGGAAATCTGGTCCAGGCTGCATCTAGGGGGATCTACTGACAAGGTTTTAACTGTTCACGTTAGATGTATGCCTTTTATTTTCTATACTCCTTTTCCCCAAGCACTCTGTTTAGTGCCACTTTCCTCCCATCTCTCAATTTTAGATATGGGGAGTTCTCCGGAGGCTTATTTCCTGTGTAGCTCGACCAATGACTCTTGAGCTCCCATGTCATCCATTACCTTCTGCACCCTGGATTCTCACAATGCAGGCTCTGATATGGATCTCTCGTTTGGCTTTGCATTACATGGATCTCAGTCCTTCTGGGAGGGCTGCTGGTGTCCTTCTGCCATCTGGACTTAGTTGACATTGTTCTTAGATAGTTGCTTGTTTGGAGACAAGCCTTTAATACCCAAGACACTATTTTATCTGATAGCTGGGCACCATCTAAATTCTTCCCTGCATTTTCGTGTAGCACCTGTATCTTCTGTGTTCCCTTCCTGAGGGAAAGCATCGAGCAGGGCCATGATTTAAGAACAAATTGTTTTTAGTTGGAGCTAGGATTTAGTGGGAGACACACCCATTCCTGGATCTATGCTTTTTGTTTTCTTTTTCTTTTAATTTGATTTAACTAGAGAGTTAATACAT